TTCCTAAGCAGGCAGTTGGTACACAGTCTTCTGACTGTGTGCGACTTTTGTCGAACTCTCTGCTTTGGCAGAGAGGAACACGGATGAAGCTTTGCCAAAGGGCAAAGCTTTGTCTGGGGAGGTAGACAGATCGCGAACCCGCTCATGAAGGTTCTAAGGGAATATTTTTGGCCGAGCCTATGGGCTAGAAGAAACCCACATTAAACTCGGCCTTGTACCACATACATTCCTCGTGGGGTGGTCTGTTAAATATTGGCAGTCGGGACGCAGTGTAACCTGACAGTTCAGATGGACACTTCTATCTGCTAATAACACTCTTATTTTGTATATATGTTCTGTTATTTCAATACACTTGTTCAACCTACCGTCTTCTTTCCGTGTCTTTCTTTCTGGCTCCTAACCGGCCACAACACTTATCATGATTTCTGAGAAATCGAAAATGATACTTATAAATACAAAAGCTGTGGTTTTTCTCCATATAGAAACAATTTATCTCTCATATATACTGACTCACTGCTTTAAACTTACCTCATGCTGCTAAATTCATATATCCATCAAAATAAATAAATAAAATTATAAAATATTCATTGATCCATCAGTCACAATTTGGCCCCTTTCATTAAACTGAAACCCTGAATATGCATACATAATTTAAGGAACCATGTTTATTGACAAAGAAAAAATAGTCCTACAATTCATTCTGCAAAATATATATATTTTGTCAAAAATATGTTGGAAAATATGAGAAAAAGAAATCTCTATAAAAGGCAGGATGTGTGTGTGTATAACGAATTTTGTAATGGCTCCAATTTTTGATGGATTTGCACCAAAATTTACATGCATATGCTCCAAGTTAGCGGGAAGGCCAAGACCAACTTTGCATTTCCCAACTAGGCAGAGAAAGTTGAATCAAGGCAGAGAGAGAGAGGGAGAGAGAAAAAGCAGAAAGAAGCAGAGTTCCATGTGTCTGAATAACGCCAGTGTCAAATTACATGCTAATAGTCTATCAGCCTCAAATGAGAGCAAGGCCATTTCAAAGAACTCTTTACAACTCCAAAGCTAAGTACCTTTAAATATATCTTTTAATTCATGTTGAATACAACCGTATAACTTTTATGTGAAAAACGAACACTCTCAATTTGTTTTGAAACATTTTGGAATAATACTTTATGTCCAATGATTTAATATGAACATTTTCTCTTTTTGAAAATTCATTGAAACTACGTACTTTAAATATTTGATTCCTTTTCCTGAAACAAGCTAACTTCCTTATCTTGTTTCATTAAATATAAGATGTGTGTTTCCTCATCAGTTTTCCTCAATACTTCAAATACCTTTGGGAAATGTATGAATCCATATTCTCCCCCCCAACTTTGGATTAAATAGTAGGACTTGTTTTGGGAAAAATCATTTTTATTCTCAAAAAACTGTTAATGCAATATTCCCCTGCCAAAAAAAAAAAAAAAGAAAAATGATTATTCTTATAATCCAAAATGTTTCAGCTTTAAATAACCCACAAAGGGTTGATAAACCATAAAAAAATCAAATCTCATCAATTGTGAAATAAGGAGCTTTTATGATATTTGTTAGTTATCATTTTTAGGTCAGTTGGCACTGCACTTCATTTGTAATTTTCAAACTTAGGTTTTTCCGTGTTTGTTATTCAAAAGAGTAAATGTTCTAAAATTGGACTGAAATAGGTTTCAAAGAGAGTAGAGGTGAATTGCAGGTGAAAACTATTCACATTTCAATTTATTTTTTGTTCTAAGTTAATAAACTTATATATATATATATATATATATATATATATATATATATATATATTTTTTATTAGAATGATTCAGACAAGTTTTAAATGTAAATCTGTTGCAAATGATGTAATTCTTCTTTGCCAGATTATTTCTTAGCAACGAAACAGATTTAGAACTAATAGGATGAATATTTGAAAAACCAATTATAGCCGGAAATTACAGTAAAACCAGATTGGAGAAAAAATTCCCCCAAGGTTTATTACAATTTAACATGCTGTGCTGTCAAGGCAAACCAGGAAAAGCAATGTCTATCTATATCTTTCTGTCAATCTCATTCTTCTAGTAACTATTCAGCTATCAGATTTTTTTGTAAATATCTTTACAAACCAATCTATGTATTTGCTTATCTAATTATCTATTTGTTGACTAATTTTTATCTGCATCTCTAAACATTATGGGTGTGTAGTTTACATCTCTCATTCAATTTATATCTCTTCTATTTTTAGGTATTTTGAATGAAAGAAAAGAGACCAGAAATTTCTTTTTATGAGACTTTCTATTCATTTGTGATTTTTAGCAATAAAGTTCCTCTTTGTAATGGATAGTGGCTCGGATTAAGGGAACCAGAGAGCCAAGTTCAAATTCCAGTCGAATCCATGACATTCCCTTATGAGCCAATACCCTCATCTTCTACCCCCCAGCTAAGGGCAAATAGCAGGACAGACTGGGTTCTATAGCCTTGGATGGCAACTGGTCTACCACAGAAAGAAGTGGCAACCTACTGCAGGAAAAAATCTGCCTTGTCCGTCATGAATTGAAAGATACATGATTGCCTAAGTGTGTATCATGCATGGCACATAACTGACTGACTATAGGTAAATAGCAGGACAGAACGGGTTCTATAGCCTTGGATGGCAACTGGTCTAACACAGAAAGAAATGGCAACCTACCGCAGGAAAAAATCTGCCTTGTCAGTCATGTATTGAAAGATACATGATTGCCTAAGCGTGTATCACACATGGCACATAACTGACTGACTGATCTTTCATTGAGTTGTGTATTCCTTGCAGTTCTATAACACCCATTCTTCTTGTGTTTGTAATGTGGATTAGACCTTTCTGTTTGATTTTAAATTTTGCAAATTGGTGCATCTATTTGTATCTGTTTTTTTTTTAAGCATTTCACCCCAAACAAGGCAGGAGTGCTACTATCATGTAGGAGATTACAAAGAGTGAAAGTGAGGGAAAAGACTGTGTGTGGGGGGGGGGGGGTTGAGGAAAGGATAAAAGAAGAACAGGGGTCAAGGCAACAGAAGATGACAATTGACACTGCATTTAAATTTTTGAAGTTTGTAGTTATCATGGAAGCAAGTAAGAGGAAGGGAATTCCACTGTTGGGAAGTGCAAGTAAAGAAACTGCTGAAGTAGAAGTGACAGTTACATTTAACTATTTCAACAATAAAAAGGTGGAACCTAAATGCCAATCTAAAAGCACACTTAAATATATATAGTTGAAGCCTCAAGAAAGATATCTTGTCAGAACAGTTGCCATGAAAATATTTGTAGAAAAGACAGAGGGAAGCTACATTACATCTGTGAGAAAGTGACAGAAGTCGAGATGCCAGGGCAGGATCAATTACATTGCAGATCCTTCTTTGGATTTTTTTGAGAACTTCAAGATGATCACTAGGGGCACCAAACCAGATATGGCAACAGTATTCAATGCATGAGCAAATGGTAGATCTCTAGAAGTGTAAGATGGACTCTGATGAGAAAAACCTTCTGGCACAACACAGTGAACTGACTTTCCTTGCAGCAGATGCAGCTATTGATCCAATGTAGTTGTTCCACCTCAAGTCATTGGAAAACGTGAGGTCAAGGAGGTGCCGTGAGATTTCTTTTAATTTTGAATGTGTACATGTTTGTCTTTCTCATACACGCTTTTTGCTATGTTAAATTTAATCAGTTTCGACCTATGCAATGCAGTAAAGTCGCTAAACCACAGCTGGTTACAGAGTGTGGAAGAATTAGGAACAGAATCATTAATAATGAGCTGAAAGAGAAAAGAGTAATCAGGAGGGCAGTAGATAGTGATTGACACTGCATTTAAATTTTTGCAGATAAAAGTTGGCTGGAAAGCATGGAGCTAGAAGGGATCAGGACCAATGATATTGCTGATTCTTCTTTGGATTTTATCAAGGAAAAATGTAAATAGCAGGGTCACTGGACCATATGGGGCAGCAATATTCTAAGTGTGGGCATATAGTAGATTTATATATATGTAAGATAGATTCTGGAGAGAAAAATTGTCTCACATGACACAGTGAACCAACTTTCTTAGCAGCTGACCTAGCAATGGATGCAATATAGTCTCTTCCACTTCATGTCAGTTGAGAACATTAGCCCAAGAAGGCACAACGAGTCCCTTTCCTGGAGGTTAGCATCAGCCATGCTGATGGAAGGCAGTAAGGGGTCTGTCAGATAATTAATGGAGAAAAGTTTAATTTTGGAGGCATTAAAATTAACAAGCCATTTTGCCCCAGTTAATGATTGACTTGACGTTGTTTTAGAAATTGGCTGCCATTTTGACCATTGGACAGATCAGCCTTACTCTTGAGGCAGGATTAAATAGTTGTGTCATCAGCGTAGATACCAAGTTGAGAGCTGATGTCATTGGGAAGGTCATTAATGAAAATAATTCTGAGAAAGTGTTTCAGGCAGGGCAGCACTTACTTGTTGTGATTCTTCTGTGTCATTCAAATGAGCCAATTGATCATGATTTGTCCAGGTTTTTCAGTATTCCATAATAAGGAATTCCCATGATATCTCATCAAATACAGTTAATCAGTTATGTGCCATGCATTATACATGCTTAGGCAATCATGTAACTTTTGATACATGACTGACAAGGCAGATTTTTTCCCACAGTAGGTTGCCATTTCTTTTTGCAGTAGACCAGTTGTCATCTAAGGCTATAGAACCCAGTCTGTCCTTCTATTTATCCATAGCTTGGGGGAAAGGAAGAGGATTCATACCTTTCCCAAGACTATTTGCACAAAAGTGAATGTAATGGATTCAACTGGAATTCAAACTCAGCTCTCTGATTCCCCAATCCGAGCCGCTATCCATTACTCCACCATGTCTAGATTTATTAGAAAACATATTCACTTTAAATACAGAATTCATAAAAATGACTTCAAAAAGCCACACATTTTTCCTGTTGTTTAGAGTCATATTACATTGAAATAACGGTCCCCTGTATGATCTCCAAAGTTAAGCAATGTCGAGCTTATTCAGTACTTAAATGAGTGACTGCTTGGGAATATCAGGTACTGTAAACTCGGATATGTGGATAGTGTAATAGACACTGGTTTGAAATTGTTATTTACTGGGGAAGAGAAGAAGAGGGTTCATACCTTTCCCAAGGATATTAGCACATAAGTGAATGTAATGGATTCGACTGGAATTTGAACTAGGCTCTCCGATTCCTCAATCTGAGCTGCTATCCATTACTCCAACATGCCTTTCAATCCTGTATTAAGGCATGATTTTTGTCCATTTTGAATTCTTGTAACAATTCCATTTTTCATTGTCATTTATTACCCTGTATTTTTTCCACATTTTAAGTAACAAAAGAAAGGCATTTTGTTTCTCCTGAATTCTTTCTAAATTTTGCAAACAGTAGACTAAAATTGATGCATTAAGTAGACAGTGGAGCCAAGCAAACTCCAGTGAGACATTTGTAAGATTTCCCTGACAATGTGCAAAAGATGATGCAATAAGTTTTATATCAACCTAATATATTTAAATAGAAAGGAAAGACATTCAGACAAAAATATATGAATAGATAGATACATGTATAAAGCATTAGGAAAAAAATTATGAAATCATCTTACTTATCGAATATTTACATAATTATTTTTTTTATATTACAGCAAATAAACTAATCATAAAACAATTTTTGTTTAATGACTAAACATTGTCTTTAAACAAATCAAATTATTTGAATGACTGATATATTTTTCCAAATTAAATAATAGAGAAAGCATATTGAATCATTTACTTGGTTCTTCAGTTTCCAAATGGTACATTATTTATATTTACTTTGTAAGAATCTCGATTGTTCTGACAGTCAATGTTTCAAATTTCATTGAAATGAAGAATGAAAACCAGAAGAGCTTAATGAAAAGTTATATAGGTATGAACAGAATGAAGCATTTGTGAGTGACAGAAATAACTTTTGAAATCAAGCCAGAAATTGTCCAAACTTGGTATGACAATAAACTACATCTGCATCCTGGGTAAGGCATCCAACAGCAAGGCCTCTGATCAGGAGGTTTTGAGGAATGTGGAACCACCTCTTAATTGCTGGTGTTACTAGGTCCACCCTGATTGGGACTGGTAGCACCTGTTAGAAGATGTGATGGGTGGACTAGCAGAAGTCAGAGAACTTTATATATAGATTGAATAGATGGCATATTGTCAATTATAATGTTTGAACAAAAGTTTGTCACATTTTTTAATAAGTGGTTGAATATGTGATTTTTTGACTGATGACTGAAATTTATGACATATATACATATTATGATAGGCGACATTTCAGTTTATCTTTCTATATGATTCATATGTGGATAGTGAATTTTTAATGTTTTTATATTACAAGTAAAAATAGAGGAAAAAGATATGCATTTTCATCATTTTATGCTCTTTTATTTCCAGAAAGAAAAAATGCCATACAAACAACAAAATAAATTGTGTCATTTATGGAGATATGGTGCCATATCTGACAGTACTATTTGTGATTGGCTTGCTAGCTTTAGGACTGGAAATTTTGATCTGGAAAGCCATGAACAACCAGCAGGCTTGTAATAATTGATGATGGCTAAATCAAAATGCTGATTAGAAATAATAATGGTGACCTGACACTGGGCATCACAGACACTCCACATATATAACCTCATTGTTGGTACTGGACATCATCTCAAAATTAGACCCACATAAGGTTAGCAGTGGCAATGGGATACCAGCCATTGTCCTGAAGAAATGTGCTCCTGTACTGGCTTCTGCTCTCTCTAAATTATATAGCTACTGTCTCAGTGAATTTTGCTTCCCAGCCTGTTGAAAGTTCTCATCTATTGTACCTGTCTTTAAGAACTCTGGAGACCCTTCTGACCCATCTAACTACCATCTCATCAGTCTACGACCACTCTTCAGCAAAGTTTTTGAGGCTTTAATCCAAACTGAAGTGGTTAATTACCTTATATCCCATGATCTTCTCTCTGATAAGCAATATGGTTTTTGCTTTGCCTGTTTTACAGCTGATGTGCCCATGGCCATAACTGAAATTGTTTACCAAGCACTTCACAATAACAGAGAAGCTTGTGCCATGGCTCTAGATATCTCTAAAGTGTTTGATAGGGTTTGGCATGCTGGTCTCCTTCATAAGATTAAGGGATACGGAATTTCAGGTTGATTATTTGACTTAATATAATCATTCCTGTCAAACCATGTAATGAAGGTCGTACTTAATGGATTCTCCTCCAGTTCATTTCTCAGAAACACAGGTGTTCCCCAAGGCTCTATCCTAGGCCCTACTCTGTTCCTTATCTTCATTAACAATCTCCCTGATGTCATAGGTTCCCAAGTAGGCATCTATGCTGATGACACTATTATTTACTCCTGCCTCAATAGCAAATCTGGTATTGCTGACAAAACTAACCTGGCTGTTAGTCTCGAAAAAAAACTCCAATCATTTGTAGACTCGGGCAGGAATTGGCTGGTTAACTTTAATGCCTCTAAAAAAAAATTGCTCTCTATTAATCACCACAGGGAATGTCTGATGCTCAACTCCACAAGAGCACCTCTTTATGACTGCTTGGTCTCACAGGGTCCGCTGACCTGAGATAGAACAATTATATTGAATCAATAGCTTCATCCACCGCAACAAAAGGTGGTTCCTTGTGTCGTGCCAAAAAGTTTTTCTCAGCTGATTCCATCCTTCAAATCTATAGATCCACCATTCACCCTTGCATGGAATACTGCTGCCATATATGGTCTGGTGCCCCCGCTGTTCACCTTAAGGTCCTCAACAAGATCCAGAGACAGATAAGCAATGTGGTTGGTCCTGATCTAGTATCTCATCTTCAGTTGCTCTCTCACAGATGTGCTTTTCTACAAATACTTTCATGGTAACTGTTCCAAGCTACTTTCGCTAGTTCCCAGGCTGTATGAATTTAAGCGCACTACTGGACTGGCATCATGGTCCCACCCTTTCATTGTTGAAACAGTTAAATGTGGCCGTCTCTTCTACTCCAATAGCTTCATGTCTTGCCTTCCTGTCTGTGGAATTCCCTTCTTATTACTTGTTTCCCTAATAGCTATAATCTCCAAATATTCAAATGTAATGTCAATTGACATCTCCAGATGCCCTGACCTATCCCTGCCCTTCTCTTCATCCTTTCCTTCATCACACCTCTCACTCTGTAACCCCCTGCGTACTAGTGGCATCCTGCCTTGCTTGGGGTGAAATACTTAAAAAAACAAAAAAATATCTCATATGAATGTTGTAAGGCATTTGAACAGATTGGATATTTGACTTATTATAATGCCTGTTAATTTGTATTTATTTAAACTTAATTACTGTTGATTTTTTTTATTGTAACTATTCATCTGTCATTTTTGAGCCATTAATTAACTGTGTTGGTTGGAAACAAGGTATAAGCTTTTCGCAAGACTCAAAATTGCATCCTTTTTTTCTTGGGGAATAAAGCATTAAATATGCTAGTGCTAATCACCCAAAGAAAATAGAGAATCTTATAATGTTAGACTGGATCTGCAATTGTCGGCTCATGTGGTAAAGTAACCATCATAGTAAGACAGGTTCCTCGAGAAGTAAAGGGATGTGAGTTTAAGTCAGTCAAGAGCTTTGACTTTATTTCTAATCAACACTGTTTAGTGACGGCTGAAGAATGATGGTCTGTGTAGCTGCAGTAAAAAATAACCAAAATCTAAAATGGAAGAAATCCTAGATAAAAACTAATAATACATGGCTTTCCTCTGTCCTTTCTAATAATATTTTCATGGCAATTTTCTATGAATTTAAGTGTACTACTAAATTGGCTTACTAGGTCTCACCAATTTACTATTGAAATAGCTTGATGCAACTGTAAGTTCTATTCTAATAGTTTCTTCTCTTGCACTTCTCACCTGTGGAATTTTCATCCAGTTTCTTTCTTCCCTCTCACCTACAATCTTCAATCTTCCTGAAACTTGTACTTTTATTCACCTTTCTGCTCCCTGAAGTCTTCCCAATCTCTTCCAGTCGCAGTAACCACCGCATCTTAGTGACATTAATTAAAACAAAAATGTTTCTTTGATCTGAAAGTGTTTTTTCTTGGCATTGCTGACAAGTTTGAAAACATTTTTTCTACAGATTTTATCAATATTTTAAAATCATAAATGAAAAAATAGAAAGTGTCATAAATATAGCATAAGGCAGGGCCATTGTGTACTACCCTACCACCAACTGGAGGAGGAGGGTGATTGGGGGCCCTGATTAATGCTTTGTGACACTTGCTATCTCATCGACATTTGCTTTTTCTACCTTCATTTATTTAGATTACAAATTAAGCACAACTGACTATTAAAGGATGAAAAACTTACATGATTTTTTTTTTACGTCATTCTGGGGTCTTTTTTTTGTTCAAAACTGTGACTTTGTTTCATTTTCTCGCGCTAAGTCTTGAAAAAACACTATATAAAATTCACTATTTTTATCTGTAATGTTCAATGCATTAAAATTATTCAGCTTTTTAAGAAGAAAAATCTCAACCTGAGATTAAAAATTGTCACAAAACATTGTTGATTTATTTGGCATGGAAGGATCTGTTATGTTTAGATACATTGTATTTATTTTCAATTTTTCTAGTTGAATTGTTCACCTAAATTGTATATGATCCATTATTATACATAATTCAGTCGCTTAGGTGATCATGTATCTTTCAATACATGACTGATTGGGGCAGAGCTTTGTGATCCTCACTATCTTATCAACATTTGCTTTTTATTCTATCTACATTTACAAATTAAGCTAAGCACAACTGGTTTGTAACTTTACTATCTCAAAAACCAAGCTAATACCATTCCATTTAAATCTGAGTTTTCTCCCGTCACAAGGAAAAAGTTTTATTCTCATAATTTGAATATCTACTGGGTCACCAATTTACTCTAGACCTCAGATGGAACTCAAATATACAATCCATTTTTAAAGCAGCTGGAAAAATGGTTGGCTCATGATCAGGACCAGCATGTACTACTCCCAAACTTTGAAGGGGGAAAG